TTTCTGGACTGCATTCCATTCCACCGGATCACAGTCATATATTTCTTTTGTGCTATAGTTATAATGGAAACAAAATTCTTTTTTTTCCTAAATTTTATTTATTTTGTTGTTGTTGTTGAGAATATACACAGCAAAATATACACAAATTCAACAGTTTCTACATGTACAATTTAGTGAAATTGATTACATTCTTTGAGTTGTGCCACCCTCCTTTTCTGAGTTGTTCCTCTCTCATTAACATCAACTCACTACCCCCTAAAGTTTCCATCTAATTCTTCAAGTTGCTGTTATCAATTTGATACCACATATTCTTAAAAGAGCATAATGCTCAAGGCAGACCTTTTTTACTAGTTGAGCTAAAACTACTGCTCGGTTTTAAGATGACTTCAGGGGATACTTCTGGTTTAAGGTTTAAAGATTATCTGAGGGCAATAGTTTCAGGGGTTCTTCCATCTTCCATGGCTCCAGAAAGTCTAGAGTCCATGAGAATTTGAAATTCTGTTCTTCGTTTTCCCCCTTTTGATCAGCATTCTTCTATAGAATCTTTGATCAAAATGTTCAGTAATGGTAGCTGAGAATCATCCAGTTCTTCTGGTCTCATTGCAAAGGAGGCAGTTGTTGGTGGAGGCAATTAGCCACACATTTCATATCCTCCTCCTATTCCTGACTTTTCTTCCTCTGTTGCTCCAGGTGAATGGAGACCAAGTGTTGTGCCTTGGATGGCAACTTGCAATCTTTGTTTTTTTTTAATTTGTCAAGATCCTTTTATTTTGTATTGCAAACATATGTAAACTATGCAGAATAAAAGATAAAAAGCCATCAAAACCAATACTTGCTAACCACTTCAGGATAGATTCCTAACATGGACTGGCCTTACTGAGACATCTAATTTTTTTCCCTTATTTCTTAGCTCTTTTATCTTGTAGAAATATGGAGGGATTATGAAAATAAGATGAAAGGCTACACTCTATTAGACTAGAGATAGCTTTGGTCCAGTGCAAGCTGTGCCTTGAAATAAATCTAAAGCACTTTATGGTTAAAACAGCAAGAAAGCAGTTTGATTTCCCATTAAATCACAGCTTAGTGCATTCTAGAACAAATTGAAGTAACTGAAAATTTTAGCTATATGGTGATATTTATATTCACACTCCACAAACACACATGCTCAAATGCCATTGACAAATTCTGCGTTTATGTATTAAGGAGAGAAAGGGAGAGAAAATGGATGTGTGTGTCAGACTGTATGTAAAAACTCATCCATTTGCAAAGACAGTATGAAAATGAGCTCATTTTGCAACACACACATACAAATGTGTTTACACTTCAGAAAGAAGAAATGTATAATTAGCAACAAACATGCAAGAACTTGGATTATAAAGCAAAGAAAATACCTGAATGTTTTTGTCTTATCAGCAAAAACTATATATGTATCATTTAAACCCTTTCTCTGTATCTAGCAGCTTAGAGATACAGAATAATTTAAATTATGCTATTCAGTAGTCTCCCACTTAGGACAATTAACAATTAATGCCAGCAGGCAGCATCACATAGTAGAAAGAGCACAGGCTTTGGCGTCAGATATGGTCTCATATTCTAGGTGTGCTACTTTCTATAAATAGGGTTTCTGAGTCTTTTTTTTTTTAATTGTTACTTGCAATCTTTTAAGACCCCAGACACTAAACAACGAACTAGGGGGGAGAACAGAAGCACTAAACACATTATTAGGATAATTAACTGGGATGTCCCATGAAACCATGACCCTAAACCTCCAAACCAAGGAATCAAATCCCATGAGGTGTTTGGTTGTACATAAGCAGCCCGTCTTAGTCATCTAGTGCTGCTATAACAGAAATATCACAAATAGATGGCGTTAACAAAGAGAAATTTATTTTCTCACAGCCTAGTAGGCTAGAAGTCCAAATTCAGGGCGTCACCTCCAGCGGGAAGGCTTTCTCTCTCTGTCGGCTCTGGAGGAAGGTCTTCTCATTAATCTTCCCCTGGACTAGGAGCTTCTCCGTGCAGGAACCCCAAGTCCAAAGGACGCTCTCTGCTCCTGGTGCTGCTTTCTTGATGGTATGAGGTCCCCAACTCTCTGCTTGCTTCCCTTTTATCTCTCCTAAGATAAAAGGTGTTCCAGGCCACACCCCAGGGAAACTCCCTTTACACTGGATCAGGGATGTGACCTGAGTAAGGGTGCTACATCCCTCCCTAATCCTCTTTAACCACAGGCAGAGATTATGATTTATAGCGCATAGGAAAATCACAAAATGGAGGACAACCACACAATACTGGGAATCATAGCCTAACTAAGTTGACACATATTTTGGGGGGGACATAATTCAATCCATGACACAGCCTCAGCAGCAACTTTTTTTTTTTCTGTCATTGTTGTAAATATATCACACAACTTTTGCCAATTCAACTTTCTACAGGTGTACAACTAATTGACAGCAATTACAATAATCTGCTGTGCAACCCTAAACTTAATCAGTGTAATTTTTCCATCACTGTTAACTCTCTTCCCCCTCTCTCCAACCCCTGGTAACCACTTATAAACTTTGGTCTCAATACATTTGCCTTTTCTTGTCTTTGTATATAAGTGAGATCATACAATATCTGTCCTTTTGTGATTGGCTTATTTCACTCGGCATAATGTCTTCAAGGAGCCCTGGTGGTACAGTGGTTAAGAGCTTGGCTGCTAACCAAAAGGGTAGCAGTTCGAATCCACCAGCCACTCCTTGGAAACCCTATGGGGCAATTCTACTCTGTCCTATACGGTCACTGAGTCTAAATCGAATCAACGGCAACAGATTTTGGAATGTCTTCAAGCTCCATCCATACTGTGGCATGTATCAAGACTTCGTTTCTCCTACTGGATGAGTAGTATTCCATTGTATGTATATACTACATTTTGTTTAACCATTCATCTATTGATGGGCATTTAGATTGTTCCCACCTTTTGGCTATTGTGAACAGTGCTGCAATGAACATTGGTGTATAGGTCTCTTTTTGAGTCTCTGCTTTCAAGTCTTTTGGATATATACATAGGAGTGGAATTGCTGGGTCATACGGTAGTTCTATTTTCAGTTTTTTGAGGACCCATTACACTGTTTTCCACAATGACTGTATCATTTTGCATTCCCACCAGCAATGGATAAGAGTTCCAGTTTCCCCACATCCTCACCAACATCTGCTGTTTTTTTTTTTTTAATTTTAGCCTCCCAGTGGGAGTGAAATGGTATCTCATTGAGGTTTTGATTCGCATCCCTGATGACTAATGACACTGACAATTTTTTCATGTGTTTGGTAGCCATTTGAATGTGCTCTTCAGTGAAGTGTCTATTCAAATCCTTTGCCCATTTTATGACTGGGTTATCTGTCTTTCTGTTGTTAAGTTGTCAAAGTTTTATACATATTTTGGTTATTAGATTCTTGTCAGATATATGGTTTCTGAAGATATTCTCCCAGTTGGTAGCTTGTCTTTTCACTTTTTTGGTAAAGTCTTTTGATGAACAAAAGTTTTAATTTTTATGAGGTCCCATTTATTTTGTCTTTTGCTGTTTATGGTTTTGTTAAATTATATTAGATGATCCACTGTTGAAAGCTAAGCCTGGCAGCGTTGCCCTTGCTTGTTCTTATAAGAATTTTACGGTTTTAGTTTGCACATTTAGGTCCTTAATTCATTTTGAATTTGTTTTTGTGTATGGTATGAGGCATGGATCCTGATTCATTTTTCTGAAAGTAGAAATCCAATTTTCGTAGCATCATTTATTGAAGAGCACAAAATTCTTTTAAAAAGGCCACACAAATTGCCTTGTGTTAGTGTCAGGCAGTTTGCCTACTGTTACTTTTAGCACTCCCAGCAATGTGACATTGTCTTAATAAAGGCTCCAGTAGGACTAATCCTGGTCCCTCTTTCAGAATAAAATGTTAATGGGCAAGGGCTAGGGGGAGGAAGAAACAGGAGGTATTACTAAAGGGGCACTGAGTTTCTATTTGGGGTGATGAAAACTTTTGGAAATGGACAGTGGTGATGCTAGCATGACACAGTAAATGTAATTAATGTCACTGAATTGTACACTTAAAAATGGTTAAAATGGCAAACTTTTTGTTACATATATTTTACCACAGTGAAATAAAAAAAAAAAAAAATGGGACTAACTAGTACCTCTACTACTGGTAATAGTAATAATAACACAGAGGTAATACTTATGTAGCACTTACTATGTACCATGCACTGTTCTTCTAAGAACTTTTCACATGGTACCTCATCTAATCTTTACAATAACTCTATGAAGTAGGTACTATTAATCTCATTTATTGATGAGGAAATTAAGTGACTTGCCTCAACTTACACAGCTCAAAGATGCCAAGTGACTTGGTTCAAGGTCCCAAAGCCAGTAAGTGACAGGACCAAAATTCTAATATGAATCCAGAGCTTCTATTACTAAATCTGGAGCATTTTCCATTAAACTACCCGACTCCTTAACTTACATTTATTTCCTCTTGGCTTATATTTTTCAATATTTTACAGATACCAGAAAGGATACACATTTCATTCTAATATATCAAGCTTGCAAGCACTGTGTTAATGGTCATTTAATCTAGGCAACCAACAGAGCCTTCCCAAAAAGCAACTTGTTAGGAAGCAGTGGCAGAGAAGTGAGCATTTAAAAATACAAAATACAGACACTGGTCTGCAGAATTATTTTAGGGCCTATATACTTCTAGGAGCGCTGCTGGTGCAGTGGTTAAGGGCTCGGCCGCTAACCAAAAGGTCAGCAGTTTGAACCCACCCAGAGTCTCCATGGGATAAAAGTCCTGGCAATCTGCTCCCGTAAAAATTATAGCCAAGGAAATCCTATGGGGCAGTTCTACTCTGTCATATTGGGTCACTATGAGTCAGACTCAGCTCGACAGCACACAACAACAACAATATGCACTTCTAAGAGGGACACAAAATACTGAGTGCTGTATTACTAAATGCTATTTCATGAGATCGACATCAAACAAATAGAAACACTAAAAGTTTATTATATATTTTCAATTCAAAAATACAACTATATGTACATAACATTACATTTAAGTATTTATACAGCATTAGGAGAGAAAGCAGTAAAAAATACTGATTTTGGGGTTACTGACCATTACACTTGAAATATAAAATGTCTTTCAAGTACATGGTATAAAATGAAAATGATTATTAAAGAGTATGTTGAAGAAAAACCCATCATGGGAAGTGATTAGCCACGTGGCTCAGAACTTAAATTATATTTTGGATCCTAATGTTTTTTCCTTATTTAGAAAAAAATAAGCCTACTAACTTATGAAGTCTAAATTTGCTTTCAATAAATCACTTGGTCAACATAACAAGATAAATGTACATACATAATGGGAAAATGGTATTTTCAATTATATCACATTATATATTAACAAAGCAACTTATGCATTTACAAGTTATAAAAATAAATCTTTCTGTAGATAAAAAAACCCAAAGAATAATTTATATTACAAGTTTTAAAAAATATGGCAAACTAACCTGATAATCACAACATTTTGTTGTTTGCCATGATTATACTGTCTTGAAGTTATTTATTTCATAAATTAAATCAGAAATCTTTGATCCACTAATGTTTTGGATGCCAAATTCCTCTGTCCTACTGTATTACGAATAAATCTAAAAATCTGGAAAAAATTAAAACAATTCAGGATGAAAAGAAATATAAAGAAAATTATATATACACATCAATATCTAAATTAAATTGGCTAATTCACTTAACTATTTATTCTCATATATCAGACATATGAATTCCATGGTGATACACAAACTTTTAAAGACTAGACTATTATCATCTTTCTTAATATCAAAGAAGTGTATGTTCCTATTTAGATTACATTTTTATGAGTTAATAATACCAATCCTCTCACATAGGAATCCACTTTTAAATATCTGTCAAGGCTATTTTCCTCTAAAAGCTATGAAAACATCAACAGAATCTACTTGTTAGAAAAAGAATCTCTTCATAATTTTAGGTATCTCTATCAAGGACTAATAAATTCTGCCTGACTCATATAATTCCTTAACATATGCAGAAGATATTTCAATAAATATTTCAACAATATTTCAAGAAAACATTTTTCATTTCTTGAAATCAGCACCTCAGATTCCCCACCATCCATGCAGTTTTCATCCACATTGGTGAGGAATGTGTGAGAGTTAGAAGATAAAGGGGCTTTTCAGTGGCTGAGTCCTGAGCTGGAATTCCAGTGCTTGCTTTTTTGCTATGTTAACATCTGGTGCAGAGTGTAAATGGGACTCTTATTACTGCTGACTCTTGCATCTAAGAGATTGGCAGTTTAAGCGTCCTCCTACTGGGTCCCTTTCATGCTCAAGCAATTTATGCCCTCCACTAGACCTCAGGATTTCATTGACCCTAATGGACATAGTGTAGAAAAAGGTTGGTTGAAATATTATTCCTTCTTTTGGTATTCTAAGCTTTTATAAATTCCTGGTAAAAAGTAGACACTGTTACTTTCTGCTATAAGAATAAACATCAATTTCCAATATATTTCTTTTAAAAGATACCTAGAAAAAATTGAAAAATTTACCTCTTGTTGTAAGTATGTGAGAAAGGCTGCTAAAATAAAATTTTGGCAAGCCAAATCCACAACACAGAAGAACAGCAGATCAAAGATAAGAAGGGTGGCTTCATTTCCATAGTACAGTACACTGCTGAAAGAATAACCTTCATCTATTAAAAAAGAAAAAAGGAATTTATAAGATATAAATTAGAAATTTGAAAACAAAACAAATTTGTGATAAATTTCTGGTAGTAAAATTTGGATACTTAAGAGTACATATAGTACTACACAGTAAAAAAAAAAAAAGGTATAAATTTTCTAATCTAAAGATTAGTCAAGGAACTCTGCACATAAAAAGCAGTTTAAACATTAGCACCAAGGGTTGGTAATTGCTAGTAGTTTAAGTATATTGTGGATACCTTTCAAAGACCTTTCTCTTTCTTCTTATTGTAGTAGTTTAAATGAAGTTTACATTTCAAGTTAGTCTCCCATACAAAAATTTATACATGCATTGTTATATGACCTAATTGATCTCCCCATACTGTGAAAGCATGCTCCTCCCTTCTACCTGATTCCCCATGTCCATTCAACCAGTTCCTAACCCTTTCTGCCTTCCCATTGCACCTCTGGACAGAAGCTGCACGTTTAGTCTCTTGTATCTACTTGAGCTAAGAGGCACACTCCTCACTAGTATCACCTTATGTCCCACAGTCCAGACCAATCCCTGTCTGAAGAGTTGGCCTTGGAAATTGTTTTAGTTCTGGGCTGATAGAGAATCCAGGAGCCATGCTTTTTGTGGGGTTCCTCCAGTCTCAGTCAGACCATTAAGTCTGGTCTTTTTACTAGAATTTGAGTTCTGCACACCACCTTTCTCCTGCTCCATCAGGGACTCTCTGTTGTGTTCCCTGTCAGAGCAGTCACTGGTGGTAGCCGGGCACCATCTAGTTCTTCTGGTCTCAGGCTGATGAAGTCTCTGGTTTATGTGGCCCTTTCTGTCTCTTGCGCTAATACTTTCCTCGTGACTTTGGTGTTCTTCATTCTCCTTTACTCCAGGTGGTTGGGACCAATTGATGCGTCTTAGATGGCTCCTTGCATGCTTTTAAGACCCTAGATGCCACTCACCAAAGTAGGATGTAGAACATTTTCTTAATAAACTTTGTTATGCCAATTGACCTAGATGTGCCCTGAAAGCATCGTCCCCAGACCCCTACCCCTGCTACTCTGTCCCTCAGAGTGTTTGACTGTATTCAGGAAACTTCTTAGCTTTGGTTTAGTCCAGTTGTGCTGACTTCCCATGTAGTGTGTGCTGTCCTTCCCTTCACCTAAAACTTGTCTACTACCCAGTTAGTGAATAACCTTCCCCTCCCTCCCCACCCTCACAACCATCAAAGAATGTTGTCTTCTGTGTTTAAACATTGCGTTCTTCTAATAGTGGTCTTACACAATATTTGTCCTTCTGTGACTGAATTCACTGAGCATAATGACTTCCAGATTCCTCCACGTTATGTTTCACGACTTCATCGTTTTTCTTTATCACTGTGTAGTATACCATTATGTGGATATACCATAATTTATCCATTCGTCTGATGACGGGCACCTAGGTTGTTTCCATCTTTTTGCTATTGTGAACAGTGCTACAATGAACATGCGTGTGCATATATCTATTCGTGTGATGGCTCTTATTTCTCTAGGATATATTCCAAGGAGCAGAATAGCTGGATCATATGGTACTTCTATTTCTAGCTTTTTAAGGAGGCCCCAAATCGATTTCCAAAGTGATAGTACCATTTTACATTCCAACAACAGTATATAAGTGTTCCAGTCTCTCCAAAAACTCTCCAGCATTTATTATTTTGTGTTTTTCAGATTAATGCTAGCTTTGTTGGGGTGAGATGATATCTCATCGTAGTTTTGATCTGCATTTCTCTAAGGGCTAATGAGTGTGAGCGTTTCTTCGTGTGTCTGTTAGCTCCCTGAATATTTTCTTCGGCGAAGTGCCTGCTCATATCGTTTGCCTATTTTTTAATTGGGTTATTTGTCTTTTTGTTGTTGAGGTCTTTTCCCCAATTAATGGACTTTGGGCCTTTGTCAAATATCAGCTGCTCATAGGTGGATGAATTTATGTCTGGATTCTCAACTGTGTTCCATTGGTCTATGTATCTGTTGTTGTACCACTACCAGGCTGTTTTGACTACCATGGTGATATAATAGTTTCTAAGATCAGGTAGTATCACGCCTCCCGTTTTGTTCTTCTTCTTGAGTAATGCTTTCCTTATTCAGGGCCTCTTCCCTTTCCATATGAAGTTGGTGATTTCTTTCTCCATCTCATTAAAAAATGCCAGTGGAATTGGATCGAGATTGCATTGTATCTGTAGATGGCTTTGGGCAGAACTGACATTTTCACAATGTTGAGTCTTCGTTTTTCCACTTACGCAAGTCTCTTTTGGTTTCTTGCAGTAGTGTCTTGTAGTTTTCATTGTATAGGTCTTTTACGTCTATGAATAGATTTATTCCTAAGTATTTTATCTTTTCAGGGGCTATTGTAAATGGTATTGATTTGGTGATTTCCTCTTCGAGGTTCTCTTTGTTAGTGTAAAGGAAATCCAACTGATTTTTGTATGTTTATCTTCTACTCTGACACTTTGCTGAAATCTTCTATTAGTTCCAGTAGTTTTCTTGTGGATTCTTTGGGGTTTTCTGTGTATAAGATCATATCATCTGCGAATAGTGATACTTTGACTTATTCCCTACCAATCTGGATGCCCTTTATTTCTTTTCTCTAGCCTAACTGCTCTGGGTAGGACCTCCAGCACAATCTTGAATAAGAGTGGTGATAAAGGGCATCCTTGTCTAGATCCCATTCTCAAGAGGAATGCTTTCAAAGTCTCTCCATTTAGGATGATGTTGGCTGTTGACTTTGTATAAATGCTGTTAATTATATTGAGGAATTTCCTTTCTATTCCTATTTTGTTGAGAGTTTTTATCATGAATGGGTGTTGGACTTTGTCGAATGCCTTTTCTGCATTGATTGATAAGATCATGTGGTTCTTGTCTTTTGTTTTATTTATGTGAT